TAGAGCGCAAAATCGATCCCTTTTTGGGAACTGAGAATAAAAATGATTCGACAAATGTTATTCTCGACCTTTAGATGTATGGACGAGAAAAAATGGATTTCAAGTCTTGGAAATAGTGCATCTTGGAATGCATTTTCTAAACCGTCAATTTTCAAAATTTTCAAGTGTTCATAGATCTGTTTGACGTACATTATTTCTAAAGCTTTAAAATTTATAATTACAGATCAAAGTAAATTTTCAGGCCATCACAAATATTTTCAGATCTGAAACAACACCTTTCGGCACTATTTGAAGGTTCCTCAACCTTATACAAACTACACCCTTTTCTATGTCAGTGATTTTTTTTCCCTTTGTTAGTAACATGACCATCAATTGTATTCAAATATTGAATAATCAAGAATGTAACCTATTTACCACCAAGGAATAATGCCAACACCATCTTTGGCTAATGCATCTGTTTCCATATTAGTTTGCATCCATGTTGGCCTCCTAGAAGCAACCTCTGTAGAAAAATGCCCTCAATTCATCAAGCAAAGGAATAAATCTATAAGGAGCCCCCATCTATCCCCTACTCCAAGCTATTGTGTTCATAGAATCATATTCAGCTACTCTTAGACTTCTAAGAGAAGAAAGAAGTCTTGGACCTTCCAACAAGGGTTTAATCTCAACTTCATTAGAATTGACCTCTTCACAAGGGCTAGACAAAGTTAACACCACCACTCCTCTATTATCCCTTATGATTCTCCTAATACCCTCAAGCCCTAGATTGCCACTAGTGAATCCATTAAAATTGAATTTTTTCTAGACTTGAGGAGGAGGAATTGTTATTTTTTATAGCTTTTTGTGTCATCCTATTCCCAAAAAGTCGGTAGCACCTCCTTTTATTCGGAATTAGTGTCAGAAGAAAAACCCCATAACACTCCTAGTACTAGTCAAATTCCCATAATAATTACTCAGGTTATATTCAACAACAAAACACACTTATATCCAACAACAAAATACACTTAGTACCTGTCGAATTTCTATTGGAATTAGATCAGGTTTAAGAGGTTATACAGAGTGATAAATGATGTCTGGGATTTGGAGCCACAAGAGGAGCTCAGTTTATTTAAAGTGTTGATCACCCCTACTCGGTACAATTTTAAGATGCAATAGGGTCCTGATGAATACACTCTCAGAACACAGTCAAATCAAAATCTTCTCGAGTTACTGAGTTGAATTCTCAGTATATTCGCATAAAAACCACAACAAAAGATCTTCCAATTGATATGATAAATATTGAAACTTTGAGTAGAAAATATCACAATAAAGCACTATACTAAATATCTTTCAATACTTTAAAAAACATAATGACCCAAACCACTAGAAATCCTCTACAATTAAAAGGACGCACTTAAAAGTCCCTCTAATGCTCTAACTTACCATAGAAATTGGAATCAAGCCACTAATGTGTTGCTACACGCCTCACACATGCACCTGAGTGGGACATGTACTAGAAATGAGCATAGCATGAAGTTATTTGAGAGGGAAATGGAGTAACCCCTTCAAGAGAGCATTGAACTCCAAAAATAAAAAGGGCTTGATGGGCATGCTGCATCATGCTTAAAATACCAAAAAGGTCAAGTGTAACGCATATATAATGATGCCAAAAAGGGTTGATGGGCACGATGCATAACAATTTAATACCAAAAGGTTAAGTGTAATACATCATTAATGATGCTTCAAAAGTACATTTAATAAAGACGCTTCAGATATCACATGTTGCATGGCTATAAATGAAGAGCACCTCATGCTTTCGTGTGTGAAACGTGGTGAGTATATGAAAAACATATTTCCGAAACATGGTGGTCCTTCATGACCACAAAAATTGAATTGGTCCCTCAATAAAATATAATAAAACAAAGCATTTGCTTGGGAACAACAAATTAAACAAAACAACAGGAACCCAAATAGCCGATCTTGTTTGTGTGGTTGTGTTAAGCTTAGATACCTCTCTGAAATTGGTCATGATTTTCTACCTTGAGATTCCTTTACAATCTTTGTGATTAGCAAATCACTCTATAACCTGGCCAAGAAGTTAACCTTTAAATTAGGTTTATCTATCACAACACCTCAAAGGACCTTTCATTCCGTTTTTTCCATAGATTCAATGTTATATGCCACAATCAATGATTTCCATACAAAACTCCAATCATGGAAAGAGCAGGAGAATAGGGTGGCAATGGACCCGGGTCTAATGACCCAACCCGATCCGACCTAGGTCTGGGTATGGGTCTAAAAATTAGACCCGGTGGGTCGGGCTTGGGTCCAAGATTTGGACCCAAGCTGAATATGGGTCTACAAATTGGACCTGGCGGGTCGGTTCAACCATATCGCGAGTTCAACACATTCTAGGAACAACTATTAATCTAGCATATCCTCAACTGCTCACAATGTATGACATGCCTCCCTTGCTGCTCCATCACATTTTTTTGTGGTTCTTAGACGTACAAAAACTTCAAGCATCCTTCGTCGACATCAGTTGTTCGAAACCAAAATGCCAACAACATTGGGATTGTATACATGAGACTATTTATTTTTGGTATAATGATGTTACAATTATTTTAGTTATTGGATGTGAAATCTAATAGATGAAAGTATGTCACAACATTAAAGAAATTTTGTTTTAGACTTTGTGCATAAACGACAACTCATCTTGAACCATTCACTTTTAAATTTAATAGTCAATGATGATTGTGACATCCATGTATCAAAAGTAAATATCTCATTGTATATTTTCTTTATACATTTCCTTTTTTTCCTTCATGCATTATGTGTAACACATTAGGGCATGAGCTTTTAGTCTATGGCATATAGGTTAAATAACATGCCATTTTTTTTTTTTTAAAAAAAATTATGAATAAAACGGAGCAGGATAGAACAGGAGCCATTAATGGAGGAAACAAATTCCATGGGTTGAGAAAATATGCTCAAAGCCATGGAAAAATATGCTCAACGCCATGGAACAGCTCCAAGAGTGAGGTCAAGTAGAAGCTGAGACACAAAAAAGACCTCTATGATGACATTGTCTCTCTTAATAGAACTCAAATAATAGAAATTCAAAAGGAAACAATTACCCTGACCCTGCATTTATAATCCCAAAGCTAGAAATAGAATTCCCTAAATAATTACAAAAGCCAAAAAGTTATTGGGAAAATTACATAGACCTCCTACGTTGAGATCTCTACACATGGGAACCCCACTACTTTTGTTGTTACACCCCATACCTTGTTACTGTTTTCCTTTGTGTCAACCCTTTCGGTGAATTTTTGGGACATTTTGAATGAAAATGCCTCTCATAGTCAAATACATGAAACCAAAAAACTAGATCTACCCTATTTGGACATAAAAATAAAAAAAACTATAATCCCCACCAAACTGGGTTCTTTGGCCAATTTGAAGAATACACACGGGCGACAAAGCCCAAATGAAAACATTGACCTCGTCAAACCCACCCGAAAAACATATATAGCACCAGTGATTTCCATAGTCAATGCAAAGCCCTCTCTAAACTTTTAGGGATTGCTTATGCACCATTGAGGCTTTATACACACGGGGGTAAAACTCTCCGAAAGAGAATTTCCCCAATCCCCATAAAGGCAGCTTGGTAAGGCGACTTATATGCAGCATCCGAACTAGTCCTTTGTAAGGCTTTTTTTTTGGATTATATACAATAAGACCATTTACCTTTGATACAAATAGGTCACAATTGTTTACAACCATCTGATGTAAAATCTGATAGCTTAAGTGATTCACAAAGTTCGAAAAAAATTTCTTTTGAAGTTTGAACTTGATCAATGAAATAAATAAAAAATTTTAATTTCACATCCACTAATCAAAATTAATTATGACCTCCTTGTATCAAAAATAAATAGCTTCATCGTATACTTTTTCTTTCTTTTTATTTTGGATACATTAACAATAAAAATGGAGGGTGAGATGTTATGTGGAGGCATCCCACCCCCTAATTCTCTGTTTCTTTGCGTGAAATGTTTGTTTATGCGCAGCAATTCATATTTGCTTGTACATGAGCATTTAAATTATGCGTGGGTACGTCTGTGTGAGAGTACAGTTTTAGGTCAAACTAAAATTAAAATTTTGATGCAGAATTCTCCAAGTTCAGAAATTTGAAGTCCTGCATTGGAGTAGATTTCCCACACGTCCCTATGAAGTTCTATTATGAAGAACCATATTTGGATAAAATAAATGAAGAATGCGTTACCGCATACATTGAGGTCTCAAATGTGGGATAAAGCCAAGTTACTTTTTTTTTTTTGGGTAGTGTTGATTGTATATACGAGTAATGAGGACAAAAGCCATCTAAAATAATCCAGTTTCAAGGTGTTGTTGAAAAGGAGCTTGTTCTTAACAAGCTAGAGAACTGATTATACTCAATAACTCCCATAAATATTTAATGCTCAGTCTGGTATCCCAAATACTTGCAGCCCAAAGATCAACAAGTCCTGTGAATTCATTTAAGATACCATAAGGATACTTCTTTATTGCACTTCCTTTATTTTATGTATGAAATTTAGTTTTTATTGCTAACTTTAACATGAACGGTTAAGTTGAAAAGACACTCTCACAGTCTGGGTTAGTTCAATTGTGACGTCCAGTGTAACATTCAACATTCAAGACATTAAACGAGAAACAAATCATCATCATCATCCAAACCTTATCTTAATTATTTGAAGTCAGCTATATGAATCATGTTCCTCTATTATTCTATCTCAAGGGAAAACAAATCAATCAAATTAAACTCGATATGAACCATAGTTTTTTAATCCCGCTCTCTTAGAGCTGCACCCACCAAAAAAATCCCATTTAGCCATAGTTAATTGCTCTTTGAATTGCATTGGCTTCTAAGAAAATGACTAATTAATCCAATTAAAATTTCTCAAAATCTTCATGTTCCCTTGAACCACGTCCAAGTTTCATCTCCTGGACGGTTCAGCAAAGGAACTGAAGTATCCCAATCTCTTATATAAAGGCCAAGATGCTCCACTCCTTTTCCTAAAAAAGTTGATTTCTTTGTCCTCTTTTTATCATGTTCTTTTTATATTAAGCATTATGAGGAATACACGAGCAAAATTTGTTCAATGTAACATATCCATTTTTTCAAAGGTTATGCCTTCTTTCATCGCAACCACCTTTTTCTAATGTTTTCCTCTGTTTTTCATGCAATTTGTCTAATAAAAAGTCAATAAATTAGTCATGATTTAATCATTCTCTTTCATTTGCCAGATTCATCCATGGATCAAATCACGGCGTCGCTGGCAAGTTAAATTTTTTGGCTGGAACTTATCAGTACCTGTCCATGGAGAGGTTTTTACCATGTGGTTTGTTGGCTCCAAAAGCATCCACACAAACAACAAGCACATGCCTGAAACAGCTAACCTCACCAATGCCATCTGGTCTACGAACAACACGAAATCTTCATGTACCTCTTGCCACATCTTACATGGAGAAAGGAATAATTTAGATCATGGCATTGAAGCTTACTGATAAAGACAATAATACAATGAGAGGATTAAACAAAACTGTACAGCCATCTTCGATGAGTAGGTTGCAACTGAAAACCTTTCGAAAGTGCACAGGTAAGATTTGCACCTGATTGATGGCTCTTCTATATAAGAGCCTCATACTTCAGATAAAAAGAAAAAATCATTCAGTAAAACTCGTTTAAGTGGTTGATTAATAGGCAGAAAACAAAAGAGCGTTAGACTAACATGGCTAAAACATGTCCACCAATTCACAAGGAGAAATCAAAAGAAAATCATCAGAGTATCCCTATGAAATACCTATTTCTGGTTAAATTTGTGAACTAATTTCAGATGAAGAAAACCCATTCTTTATCAGGCCCTAATACAGATATTTAAAAGCAACAAAGCTGGGCGAACCAAATCAATTTGAACCCAGTTTTAAATAGTCAGCTAGGACCATGACTCGGCCCCTACTCGAAGCGAGTAACTAGGGAAAGTACATGTACTCAGACCTGCGTAGTGGACATCCTTAAAAAAAAGGAAAAAATAAAAATAAAAAACCTAAAAATTTGACAATTAGAAAAAAATGAAATATATATATATATATATATATATTATTTTGTTGTGATGGTGGCAGGGAGAAAGCATTTGATGAGAGAGAGAGAGAGAGAGGTGTGGATTCCAGCCCCGTTTTAGTCTCTAAAAGGGGGAAAACACGAAGAAGGCTGAACAAAACAAAGAGGACACACAAAATAATGAAGCAACAAAAAAAAGAGCATAAATGGTTCTTGCATATTGCACAATAATGCACCTGGACATTTGCACAAGAAAGGCACAACAAAAAACCCTGGAGCTTGATGCACAAAATCAAAATAGCAAAGATAGAGAGAGACATGCATGCACACAGCATATTCAGAAATGTTCTAAATATCCAAAAGACAAGAAAATTCTAAAGAGAAAGAAAATAGGTGTCACCTTTTTGCGGCCGAGGGGGGGGGGGAGAGAGAGAGAAGAATGCAAAGGGGGTAGAATTCTACCCCCTTTTAGAGAGAGGTTTTTGCCCCCCATTTTAGAGATAGATAAATAGATAGCTGTTGAAGTTTGTGGCCTTTAAAGGCCATGAGAGCATCTAAATATCAGTTGTAGTGGATTATACACTTCAGTGGCATTGTGTGCTGGTTAACTGATCTAGGGTAGGCCATCTATGGCCCTGGTCATGTCCAAAACCCTTACCCCTAGGTATATGACACTATTAAAAAGGGTTTACAAAAGGCCATTCTTTGTTGAAGTCAGAGAGTCACCTAGGGATGGATTGTAGGCCAAAAGAGTTGTGTGGTCTCTTATGTGTGAATGTAGCCCTATGAAAGTGGTAGGCCAGAAGAGCTGTGTGCTCTCTTATGTGCGAATGTAGCCCCGTGAAAGTGAGGGCTAAATCCTTAACAAACTTCTACACGTGCATGTATACATGATAACCACACTACTAGGAAGCACCCCTAAAAAGAGACACATAGACATGTGCACAGAGTGTCCCACTTGCACTATTGTGATATGAGAGTGTGATTTGCTCTTAAGGGAGGAACCTGCACCACATTCTGGGACTGTGATTCCACCATATATTGCCCAGCTTTGACAAGCCAATCATGAGCCCTAACACTATAATATGGGTCATGGATCTCTTTGGGTTGGTTAGGGAAGGTCGTTGAGGAATACAATTATTGGGCACTGACAATCACTTAACTTGACCCATTGCTACTGGTCCACTTTTAGATATTTTATTTCAAGTATAAGAAATGTTTCTATGAATTTTAGAAAACTTTCAAAATTTTTAAAATTGATTTCAGCAGTAAATTACTTTAAAAGGTTATTTATGATATTTTCGTTGTGTGAAGGGGCACATGTGGGCCCTTGGATCCAACCGCACATGTGCCACACCACATGGATGGGGCATGGAGCCATGGGGCCCACACCACACTCATGAGGTGGCATGCCCCCCCTTCCTCTTGTTTATTTATAGATTTTAGTTAAAAAAATATCTTTTTGAGAAGATATTGTGCCCTTATTTTGTGGGAGTTAGTTTATTATAATATCTTTGACCAAAAAAATCTTTTATTTTAACCTCCTACAATTTTATGAGAGATAAAAGGAAGTTTGTGTAGTTTGGTCTTATCCTAGTTTGACAAGAAGTGGATATCGATTACAGATTAAGGAGATAAGGTTCCTAATATTCATCCTTAAATGTTGGTTCATCCATAGAATGAGTGTAGTGGAGATGAGGCTGTTGTAATGGATGAGTGACAAGACAAGCAGGGATAGAATTCAGAATGAATCTAATCGAGAGAATTTAGGCGTGGCACCAATAGGCAATAAAATGAGAGAGAATAGACTTAGGTGGGTTGGCCATGTGTGGCACCAACTAAGTACAACACCTGTCAAGAGGTGCAAATTAGTTTAAGTGGAAGGACTGAAAAGGATAAGGGGTAGGTCCAAAAGAACATGGTTGGAAGTAGTCCGAAAAGATATGGGGACTTATGGCCTCACTGAGGATATGACTTTTAATAGAGCAGAATGAAGAAGCAGGATTCATGTAGCCGATACCAATTAATTTGGGGAAAAAGCTAAAATGATGATGATGATTCATGAGATGGATGACTCATATTTAATTATCTCTCACCTCACAAATTTTCTAAGATTCTATTGGTCATAGTGAGCCACAATTGAATAGACCTACCTAGGAGCCCTCGAGGTCAAAGGAGATGAACCCCCTCTCTTTCTACTAAAAAAAACTTCTAGTCACTATTTGTTATTTTCTATCTCCATGCCGCACTCTTTCTCATCGTTCTAGCTCTATCTCCTCTCTCTCTCCAAGTGGCCAGCCAGACACCCACATAGGGCGCAAGGGGTGGCATGCACTGCCATAGTAAGGTTTTGTTGTGGGAGTGATTATTGAACACTTAAATGATCATTATATTGTATTCAAGTCTCTAAGGACTTAATTGTCTTTTTTCACACAAAAGGACATTCTTGAACAACAAATAAAATCTTTTATAACTAATATAAATATAGGGTGTGGTTTGTATAAGGCTGCAGCCCTAAACAATCCAAGTAAGGTGCACTTCAAATAGTATCTGAAGACGTTTCATACTAGAAATCTTTGTCATGGCCTGAAATTTATTTTCATTTCTAATTAAAAAATTAAAGCTTAAAAAATAGTGTAGATTGAGCATCTATGAAAACTTGAAAATCTTGCAAATCGACGTTCCAGAAAAAGCATTACAAGATGCACTATTTCCAAGACTTGATATCCATTTTTACTCATGTCCATACATTTTGGGGTAGAGATGATCGATTTCAGAATATTTGGGCACCAAAACAACCTCTTCTAGTGAATTTTTTAGGTGCGCCTTAATTTGATTGTTTAGAGCTCACCCTTATATAAACCTTTTCCATAAATACGTGAGCATGTTAAAGGAGTGTTTGACCTAACGTCACCATATCTCTTCTTCCTCTTTCAATGTTCTTTTCCTTCCTCTTTTTCACTCTCATTGTGCACTTGTTCTCTTCATAGTTTTGCTTCCTTTTTCTCCCTTTTTCATTATTTACTCTATTATATAGGGTTTAAGGTTAGTAGAGAGAGGCACCAGCTCTAGTACATAAGGAGGTGCCTTTGTGACATATGCCCTTAGTGTTTCTAGAAAGGGTTATAGAAACCCTAGTTTGTGAGGTATTGTTTAAGGAGGTGGTAAGGCCAATAGGATCAGAGTGGGCCATTAGTCAGGTAATCAGTGTGGTGTATATTACGTCCTACGGGTTGGCCCTAAGCATAATCGACTAAGTCCTTCCACTATTTCCTTTTATTTTCAATCATTCTTGGCTTATTTTCTTCAATTTCAGGGATATTATTTGTACTTAAATTGTAAGTGAAAGCTTGTTTTTCATTCTTGGATTCTACCTATTGAATTTGGCAATAAAACCAAAGATCCTAGGGTGTATTATTATTTTGTTTCTTGTTTAAAATAGTGTATTGTGGCACTTGCAAATGAAATGCTGATTATTAATAAAAGAAAAAGAGAAAATTTTTTATTCATACCCTTGAATTCCACATAGCCACTTCTTTCAATATATATATCCATATATTATCATCATCATCATCAGAGCAATTTCCCAATGATTTGGGGTTGGCCACACTAATCCTAGTTCTCACCATTCTGCTCTATCAAAAGCCATACCCTCACTCCATATCTTTTCTCACTACTTTCAATCATGTCCTTTTGGGCCTATCCCTTGCCCTTTTGTTAGAGAGAGAGAGATGAAATGACGGGAGCAGTTCCTCCTTTTTTCTATGAACATGACTTGTACGCTCTCCCAAGTACCCAATTGGGTACATGGGAACTCGCTTCGACATAGGCCAAGGCGGAGTAACTTACCGGATTTTGAGTCAACTTGGACAATTTTTCAAATGCTGATTTAAACTGATTATAGCGAACTGTATTGGAAAATTGTACCTCTATTGATCAGCATGTGGAGACCGACTTCATTTGATGTCATCAAATGACAACACTGAGCTCTTGGGATCCAAGAATTTCTTTTAGAAATATAGATGGCCTTGCTTTCTTCAAACCATTCTGACCGATAGTGGTCTTTGAAAATGTTAAGTACCTAACCAGACAGCAGGGAGTTCATCATATTTGTAACATTAAGCTAAAAGGATAAACGGTGAAAATATCAAAATACCAAAATGCTGATGCTCTTGTCTTCAACATGCCAAAGTGAATAAGAAAGATGCAATATGGTTGAAATTACGCTTGGCATTGTAAGATCAATATCAAAATGGAATTCCTAATATTGTTCTTAAATGATTACCATATTACTAAAATATATCTGAAATTCCCAAGAAAAATAAGAATTCAACATACTTAGGAAATGTGTCCAGGTGGAACTGGGAAACTTCTACGGAGTTAGTGGTGTACTAAATAAAATTGGGAGAACTGTCTTTCATATATTTGGCCTTTATTGTGTTCAGCTAGAGAGTTATTTGCATATGCAATTTGCATAATATTAACTGAGCGATTTTCATTCATATGGCACCTGTTTGATTTGCAATAAAGATATCAAACATCAGGAAAAGATTACATCTTTCTGTATGAGTTGTATCACTTCTGAAAAGCAAATGATACTTTTCCATGGGCAACAGTAAAATCACTCGCATTTTTGTTGTAACAAGTTGAGGGGCTCCTTCTAATATGCTTCAGTTTTTATAATAACCAATCAAGTTGACTATCAAATGAATAATTAAATAAATAACTTCAAATTGATTCATTTACTGACAGTAGCTTTTTTGCCCTTGTAATCCCAACATAAAGTAGCCGCCGCTCCTCTGCAATATTATTATTAAAGACAGGCAGAAGCCCTTCTTCCAATCCCACAATAAACACATAGTCAAACTCTAATCCCTTGGCTGCATGCAGTGTCATGAGTTTAACTGTCTGATTAATTTCTGGCCCCTACAATAAAATTAAACCCACAGAAGGGTAAAAAAAATCAACTGCTGAATAACTCCCATGACAATGGAATAAAACAATCACATAAATATCTTCTAAGGAAAAAAGCTTAACAAATTGAAAAGCAGAATAGTCATTGATTATTAAACTCCCATTTGAAACTAAGTAAATAAAATCAGAAGATCATTTTCTACACTTTCTTAGGTGTAGTTCCCATTTAGTGCAAGAATCCTTTAATACTTTCCGGTGTTTCATGATGTTATTAACACATAATTGCACGCGTGCAGCCTCATGCAAGCGGGTTTGCTCTTTATGCTCCTCATAGAAGATTTCCACCTATCAGCTCACCCACCAAACCCCTCTCTCTTACACATACACAGGCACACGCACACACACACACATACATACAATTTAATACTTTTGTTTGAAAAAGAAAAAGCCTAGAAATCAAAAATTTTGAAGAACCTATATTTTCTTATAGCTTTGTGGGTGGACCACCTCAAACTTGAGGTGCCAGCTTGGTTGCCTCCTCACGCCTTCTAAGACCTTGATAAATAATCCCTTCCATGGATATTATCTAATTCTTTGTGAATGACATTGATGTAAATGAAATTGATATTTTACATTTTAAGCGTTAAATAGGATAATGCAGTAAAAGTTTTCCTTTTTACAACTATGATTATATAGAAATTTGTCCTCATTGGTTACATACCATGAGGATGATAGCTAACATGGAATTCTTGGTTCAATGTCACAGGCACTAGTCCCTAACTTGGCTAAACAAAAATTTCATCTCATTTATCATGGCCAATTTGGCTTGGTATAGAAGACAAAAAGTACTGATAGTATGATGCAGACCAGAATAGTGCTGTTGGGTATCTAGATAAGAGAGACAAACTTAAATTTTACAAGAAGAACGCCAAAGGGAAAAATTGTCATTGAATCTGTCCTTTTTGTCTTTTATGTATTTCTTGAGATTTTACATACTTAGGGGCATAAGTAGTAATTTTTAGAGTCTTTTCCGTCTTTTATTCACTTAAGGTCTTTTATAATAAATGACCATGATTTGATTAGTTGGATGGCAAGGATTAAGTCTTATTTAGGGTTTTCTTATATAAGGGTTGTACTCAAGTATAATTAAGCATCTTGTTATGGACTTTTATTCAAAACCCTAAAACAGCCAATGCTCTTTCTTTATCTCTAGTTTTCTAATCTCTCTAGTTTTGGACCTTCCCTAACTTCTTGTTTATGAAAACCCTAGCTCCAAGCTACTAGGTTTGGGCCAGATTGGTATCAGAGCCCAACGATTTGTAGGGATGGTACAGTACTGTAGTACTATAGCACGGTACTGTAACATCAATTTTTATGCCTCCATGTAAAGGAAAAGGAGGAAAAGCGACAACTTTAGAAGCATTTGATGCTAGTTCACGAGAAGGGATTGCAGATCTGAGAAAATTGGTCAAAACCCTAGCATTGCTTGTGGTGCATATGGAAGCCCCATCCCAGGAGGATGAGATCAAGGCAAATGAGGAATCCAAAGGAGAGAGGTAGCTGATCGTATGAATAGGGACAGGGTGACATGGAAGTCTACCCGAGGACAACCGTGGAGAACTTTGTTCTCATCAAATGGTCCTCAAGATCAACACATTGCGGACTCGGACTCACCGCCAGTTTTTGACAATTACCTAGATGAAAATTTGAGTGTTGAAAGAGAAGTAGGTAATCCTATCATCGAAGAGGATCAAGAAGAAGATTCTCTCCAAAGGGTGATCCTATCATAACTTTAGTGGTAATCCTATCCTCTCAGTTGGTGAGTTTGACATAGGAGATTCTCTCCAAAGGGTTGCTCAAGTCATTCGCAATGAGAGAACTCAAGAAGAGTTGTTGCTTTGCTTTGATAGAAGAACCAAATCTCTTCCTTATCATATACCCCCAAAATCTAAACCTCATCATCATCATCATCATCATCATCATCAAAGCCTTTCCGAACTATTTGGGGTCAACTGCATGAATCCTGACCCACCATTCTGCTCTATCAAGAGACATACCCTCAGTGAGGCCATAAGCCCCTATATCTTTTCTTATTACTTCTCCAACCATGTCCTTTTGCCCCTACCCTTTGCCCTTTTTGAGCCCCCCATTTGAACCAACTTGCACCTCCTAACAGGTGTTGTACTAGGTCTGTGCTAGCCCACCTAAGTCTACTTTCTCTCATCTTATCGCCTACTGGAGCTACACCTAAGTAATCCTGAATGTATCCATTTCGAATTCTATCCCTCCTTGTCTTGCCACTCATCGATCTCAACATCCTCATCTCAAGTACACTCATCCTATGGGTATGTTGTTTCTTGACCGCACAACATTCCGTCCCATAAGCAAAGTTGGTCTCACAATTGTCCTATAGAACTTTGCCTTCAGCTTCATTGGTATACGACTATCACATAAAACTCCGGTTGCACTCTCCATTTTGTGCACCCAGCTCTAATTCTATGCGTGAGACATCTTCCTCGATCTCTTTCTTTTTTTAGATTATCGAACCAAGAGCCTCAATTGTTGACCTCCCTAACATAAAACCAAATTGGTTGTGACGGCCCTAATTTTTTTCTGAAACTGAAAAGTAATAATAATAATAGTAATAGTAAAAATAGTTATAAATGCAATAAAAATAATAATAACAATAATAGCGTTAATAATAATATAAAAATAAAACAAAAAACTTGACATAAAGAAAAGATTGAGTGATGGTTCATTGGGTTGTTAATGCACCATGGGACCACTCTTTTATAACACCCTTCATTTTTATCGATTTTTTTAAAAATAAATATTTAATTAAGATATTAGGGTATAAGGTGGGATTATGAGGTAATGATAAGAGGTGATGTGGCATTATAAGAAAACAATAGGAGGTGATGTGGCATTATAAAATAATTAATAAAAAATAAAAATAAAAAGGGAAGATACATGCCTTGACATGTGTCAAGTTAAGGAGTGTCCTTGCTCACTTTACAAATATTCCTTCCCCCTCATGAGATAATCATGAAGCTCATCAAAGTTTCCATCTCTCTCTCTACGTAAGTCTCTTTCTCTCTCTTATTACAATTATTATTTTTTATTCTTTTCTCTCTCTCCCTCATAGTATTTTCATTACTTTTTCATAATAATATTATTACTTTAATAATATTCTCATGAAGTATTCTCTCATAATGATATTATGATTTTCATAATATTCTCATTATTCTCATAATAATGATACTCTTATAAAAATAGTATTTTCTTTCACTCATAATATCCTCATTACTTTCTTATAATAATATTATTATTTTAATAATGTTCTCACAATAATAAATAATCAATTTTAGTATTACAATATTATGTGTATCAATTTTAAATTATTACACATGATTTATTCAGTTATATATGATACACTTAATTTTATATTATGGAGTTCAATTAGCTAATTTGTTAATTTTATTATAATGTTATTAATGGTTTTTACATATGTATTACTATATGTCTCATCATTATATTATTATATTTTTTAATTTATTATCAGTTTTCATTTATATACTGTCTGTAGGCATATTATTTGCACTGTTTAATATTATTATAATTTTTATATTACATGTTATAGTATGTTTTCATCACATGTTATAGTATGTTCTCATCATGATAATGTTCTCAAAATATTGTAATGAAAAATAATTAAGAAACTTATAATAGTTCTTCTCCCTCTCATCGTGTTCTCATAAAAATAATTCCATAATATTTTTCGCTTTCTTAGATGAACATATTTTTATGCTCCTTTTCCCATTAGAAGCTCATTTCCTCTCTCATATCTTTAGCTAAACACCCTTGATTCCAGTTTTACTCCGGCAACGATAGTAACATATCCATCTCGAAGTGACATATAGGTAAGTGACCTCATTTTTTTGGTAAAATAATTATTTGAAAAACTATATTTCTGTAATATTCCGTGAGATATTTCTGCATTTAATTGTAATATTTCCAACATAAATTTTAGATATTGTAAGTGTTATGTGCAAGTGGCCTTGCTTTTCCAAAAAAAAAAACAATTGTTTAAAATCTTGGGTTTCTGCGCCATAGTTTTTACGTGTTTCTGTAACGTTATTATTTGAAAATACTGTAGGTGTTATGTGCAAGTGTTGTGCAAGTGTTATGCAAGTGTTATGTGCAAGTGTTATGCACAAGTGTTATGTGCAAGTGTTATGTACAAGTGATTGCTATAAGTTGCTTCATCTCAATTCACGTTAATGATTTCAAAGATATTTTGAAAATACGATATTATTGATTCATGATATCTACTACAATGATATATGGCCTGCAATTGATAAAATAATGTCTTTTGAATTTACATGCATGATAATATGACATAGTGATGTCCTTTTTGACTATATGTATAGCATAGACATGTTGATGTTTCTTGTTATTACATATGAGATATGCTTCTGAAAAGATGTGTGCATGGTAACATGCTTCTGATAAGACATGGGTGCATGGTAACATGCTTTTGATAAGATATGGGTGCATGTTAACATGCTTCTGATAAGATATGGGTGCATGGTAACATGCTTTTGATAAGATATGTGTGAATGGTAACATGCTTCTGACAAGATATGGGTGCATGGTAACATGGTTCCATTGTTTCAAAAAGCGGACCGCCTAGCGCCTGGGCGGCTGCCTAGACGGATTTCCCTGGGCGCCCACCTGAACCCGTCTAGGCGGACGCCCAGGGCCTGCGCCCCATCCAGGGGCGGAACGACAACTCCTTGAGGGTATCTTTGGGTCCTTTTTTTAATACTAAAGAGGCAAAATTGTGGGTTTAGGTTCATTTAAAACCGAAAATCCATTAAAGGCTATTTTAGAGAGAGAAAACCCAAAATAAAAAATATTTCTACTGGGCAGCCTGGACCCCCCCGGACCTCCTAGGAGCCGCCTAGCGCTTTTTGAAACATTGTATGCTTCTGATAAGATATGTGTGCATG